TCGTGGGAGGCGTGCGGCGCACCGGCTGGGGGCAGCGGTGGCTGCACCGGGTAGTTCATGGCGTTGATCTGGGTCATGCAGCTGGCCAGGTGGCCCAGGAGCCGTGTGCGCACTTCTGTGTTCACCCCCTCGCAGGTGGAGAGGAAGCGGGTCACCTCGTTCATGCACTCGCTGAAGCCAGCCCGGTACTTGCCCAGCACCGTGGGGTCTGTGCTCAGAGCAGCTGTGAGGAGGAAACACATGGATCAGCGCCTGGCACAGCCTGCCCCCCCGATGCAGGACCGGCCTGAGACCCCCATGCACGTTGGCTCCCAGCACCCACCAAGCCCCTCGCAGCCTGATGTGCATCCCTCTGTCCCCGGGGCCTGTGAGGGTCTCCTTAGCTGGACTTGCCCAGCACCGTGGGGTCTGTGCTCAGAGCAGCTGTGAGGAGGAAACACATGGATCAGCGCCTGGCACAGCCTGCCCCCCCGATGCAGGACCGGCCTGAGACCCCCATGCACGTTGGCTCCCAGCACCCACCAAGCCCCTCGCAGCCTGATGTGCATCCCTCTGTCCCCGGGGCCTGTGAGGGTCTCCTTAGCTGGAGGCTCGTGTCCCCCCAGGGGCTGGGGACTGCTCCCTTTGGAGCCCAGAAGGGGGTGCCCCCCTTCTCCGGAGCACTGTGACCGACCCGAGCGTGGGAAGCATGTAGGGGACCCCCCCGAGCAGCCCCCCCCACTCACCGGTCATCTGGGCGCGCTGCAGGCTCCGGAGGTGCTTCACCGTCATCTCCAGGATGTCGGCCTTCTCCAGCTTGGAGTGGGGCTGGTGTCTCTGGAACTCCTTCTCCAGCAGGAGTTTCAGCTGCTCGATGCTGCTGTTAATCCGGTCCCGGCGCATTTTCTCCACCACCGGCTTCCTCAGCTGCACAAAGCAGGACAAAAGATTTGCTTAGAAAACATCCTAACTCTGCCACATCTCTGAATCTCTACCTAGCACGGGATGCTCAGCTGGTGAAACTGACACCGAAATAGAACGACACTTATTTGTACCAGCTGAGTTGCTAGTTCCATCTGTTTCACTGAAGCAGTCAGCAAAGCAGACGGTGCCGGTACTTACTTTGTTTTTCTCTTTTGGTGTCAGCAGGTTGTGCTCCATGAAAACAGTGCTGGGAGCCATCTGTCCTGAGCTAAGGAGGCAGATCTCAGTCGGGCTGAAGTCCCGTGGAAGCGTGCTGCTGGAAGCTGGCTCTGCCCTTATTTATATGGCACAACCCCGTTGAGAATCTGTGGGTCTCTGACTTGGTTGAGTTTCCCACACTCCGGAGCCAATCAGAGATAGGCAGGACAATAGAAGAAGCATCTATTCTTGCATGCTCCATCGGCAGTGAATAGCCGGGGGATAATGACCTTCTCCCAGATGAGCAGGTGGGGAGTATGTGCTACGGGAAAGATTGGGATCCAAATTACATGTTAGAAGCTGGGAAAGAGCTGGCCCTCAGTGAGAAAAGCCTGCTGACTGACGCCACAGATCAATAGCTTTCTGGGCATGAACAAGATTCAGCTCACATACAATGGTGAAGGCAGGAGCTAGTTGCTGATGGCGGGAAGGCAGCGCATCTGTGCAGAGGAATAGATGGGACTGTATCCCGTTTGAAAGCACACGCCCAAACCCACACTCTGGCTGTGCACACACCCGGGACACACCGATGGAGGCAAGCAGCACCCTTGCTTGAGATCACTAGCTGCTGAAAATAAACCGTCGACTTTGTTTTGCTTATTTTAAACCAGGGTTGAAAGTTTGGGTTGGTTTGTTTGAATCACGAGTCAGATTCTGACATTCCTCCTCTGCTGACATGTGTGTCACCAGACTCAAACTACAGTGTGGACTCCATGGTCCAGCTCAGAATAAACAATGCTCGTCATTGTGAGTACACGCATCTAGACAGAATGCTACTTGCTCACTGGTGCAGCGGACAATCTTGTGTCTAAGCAGAGGACGAGGAGAGAGATTTGAGTTCTGTTCTCAGACGTCCTGCGCGACTTTAGGCACTTCACTCCACCATGCTTTAATTTCCCCATGTAGGAAAAACAGTCACAAGAATGCTTTATTTATCTGTTCTTAAATAGGAGGTGAAAGAGGGAATATAGTGGGTGCTGAATATTTAATACGTTTGCATGTATGCACTACCTTCGTCCAAGGACCTCAAAACATAATGAACATGAATTTAGCCTTACAACCCACCCCCTTCCATTCCCGGGGTCTCTCCCTGGCCGGCCGGGTTTCTGCTCCTTGACTCATTTCCCCAGCTCTCCTGGGAACACGCCTCAGTTTCCCAACATCTGCTCTGCGGGGCTGGGCGCAGCGTCCCAAGCAGAGGGCAGAGAACCGCCCTGCGCCTGCCCGAGACTCCCCTTTGGGCACCTAAAGCTCACGCGGGAGCCCAGAGTCCGCCGGTTCCCAGATGTTTTTCAGTCTGTTTCCCGGAGGGATGGCGGCTGGTCTGTCTGGCGGGAGGGGGCGGACCGAGGCGCGCAGTGGCAGCGCAGAGCCTAACCGATGTAACAGGCATCAGCTTTCGTGGGTCGAAGCCCATTCCTCAGATGAGCTGGAGTGGGAGTCGGAGAGGCAGGGCTGGAAGAGCCCGGCAGCTTGGAAGGGGGCTGACTCGCCCCGCTGCCGGAGGGCGTTCACTGTACCACGCGGCAGGGCTGGAAGCGCCCGGCAGCTTGGAAGGGGGCTGACTCGCCCCGCTGCCGGAGGGCGTTCACTGTACCACGCACCACGCAGCCCGGGTCAGTCCCCTTCCTCGTGTATGTCAGGTACAGGGATCCCAGGTGCCAGTGGGGAGGGGGCCAGGAACACGGGGCGAAGGGGGCTGATCCCAGGCGGCCTCTGCTTGGACACCCAACCGGCGTGTTTGGAGCCAGCCTGGGGAGAAGTGTTTGCAAAGCGCCCTGCTCCACGTCAAGCGGCGCAGGGACAAGGCACAAGAACCCGCAGGCCCCTCGCAGACCCCTCTCTCCATCCCCACCCAGACCCC